AGAGAGAGAGACCAGAGAGAGACCAGAGAGAGAGACCAGAGAGAGAGACCAGAGAGAGAGACCAGAGAGAGAGACCAGAGAGAGACCAGAGAGAGACCAGAGAGAGACCAGAGAGAGACCAGAGAGAGAGACCAGAGAGAGAGACCAGAGAGAGACCAGAGAGAGACCAGAGAGAGACCAGAGAGAGAGACCAGAGAGAGAGACCAGAGAGAGACCAGAGAGAGACCAGAGAGAGAGACCAGAGAGAGAGACCAGAGAGAGACCAGAGAGAGAGACCAGAGAGAGAGACCAGAGAGAGACCAGAGAGAGACCAGAGAGAGAGACCAGAGAGAGAGACCAGAGAGAGACCAGAGAGAGAGACCAGAGAGAGACCAGAGAGAGAGACCAGAGAGAGACCAGAGAGAGACCAGAGAGAGAGACCAGAGAGAGAGACCAGAGAGAGAGACCAGAGAGAGACCAGAGAGAGAGACCAGAGAGAGAGACCAGAGAGAGAGACCAGAGAGAGACCAGAGAGAGACCAGAGAGAGACCAGAGAGAGACCAGAGAGAGAGACCAGAGAGAGAGACCAGAGAGAGAGACCAGAGAGAGACCAGAGAGAGAGACCAGAGAGAGACCAGAGAGAGACCAGAGAGAGACCAGAGAGAGACCAGAGAGAGACCAGAGAGAGACCAGAGAGAGACCAGAGAGAGACCAGAGAGAGAGACCAGAGAGAGAGACCAGAGAGAGAGACCAGAGAGAGACCAGAGAGAGACCAGAGAGAGAGACCAGAGAGAGAGACCAGAGAGAGACCAGAGAGAGAGACCAGAGAGAGACCAGAGAGAGACCAGAGAGAGACCAGAGAGAGACCAGAGAGAGACCAGAGAGAGACCAGAGAGAGACCAGAGAGAGACCAGAGAGAGACCAGAGAGAGACCAGAGAGAGACCAGAGAGAGAGACCAGAGAGAGAGACCAGAGAGAGACCAGAGAGAGAGACCAGAGAGAGACCAGAGAGAGACCAGAGAGAGACCAGAGAGAGAGACCAGAGAGAGACCAGAGAGAGACCAGAGAGAGAGACCAGAGAGAGACCAGAGAGAGACCAGAGAGAGAGACCAGAGAGAGACCAGAGAGAGAGACCAGAGAGAGAGACCAGAGAGAGAGACCAGAGAGAGAGACCAGAGAGAGAGACCAGAGAGAGAGACCAGAGAGAGAGACCAGAGAGAGAGACCAGAGAGAGAGACCAGAGAGAGAGAGACCAGAGAGAGACCAGAGAGAGACCAGAGAGAGACCAGAGAGAGACCAGAGAGAGACCAGAGAGAGAGACCAGAGAGAGACCAGAGAGAGACCAGAGAGAGACCAGAGAGAGAGACCAGAGAGAGAGACCAGAGAGAGACCAGAGAGAGACCAGAGAGAGAGACCAGAGAGAGACCAGAGAGAGAGACCAGAGAGAGACCAGAGAGAGAGACCAGAGAGAGAGACCAGAGAGAGAGAGAGACCAGAGAGAGAGACCAGAGAGAGACCAGAGAGAGAGACCAGAGAGAGAGACCAGAGAGAGACCAGAGAGAGAGACCAGAGAGAGACCAGAGAGAGACCAGAGAGAGACCAGAGAGAGAGACCAGAGAGAGACCAGAGAGAGAGACCAGAGAGAGAGACCAGAGAGAGAGACCAGAGAGAGACCAGAGAGAGACCAGAGAGAGACCAGAGAGAGACCAGAGAGAGACCAGAGAGAGACCAGAGAGAGACCAGAGAGAGAGACCAGAGAGAGAGACCAGAGAGAGACCAGAGAGAGAGACCAGAGAGAGAGACCAGAGAGAGAGACCAGAGAGAGAGACCAGAGAGAGACCAGAGAGAGAGACCAGAGAGAGACCAGAGAGAGAGACCAGAGAGAGACCAGAGAGAGAGACCAGAGAGAGACCAGAGAGAGACCAGAGAGAGAGACCAGAGAGAGACCAGAGAGAGACCAGAGAGAGACCAGAGAGAGACCAGAGAGAGACCAGAGAGAGAGACCAGAGAGAGACCAGAGAGAGACCAGAGAGAGAGAGACCAGAGAGAGACCAGAGAGAGAGACCAGAGAGAGACCAGAGAGAGACCAGAGAGAGAGACCAGAGAGAGACCAGAGAGAGACCAGAGAGAGACCAGAGAGAGAGACCAGAGAGAGGACCAGAGAGAGAGACCAGAGAGAGACCAGAGAGAGAGACCAGAGAGAGACCAGAGAGAGAGACCAGAGAGAGAGACCAGAGAGAGACCAGAGAGAGACCAGAGAGAGAGACCAGAGAGAGAGACCAGAGAGAGAGACCAGAGAGAGAGACCAGAGAGAGACCAGAGAGAGACCAGAGAGAGAGACCAGAGAGAGAGACCAGAGAGAGAGACCAGAGAGAGACCAGAGAGAGACCAGAGAGAGACCAGAGAGAGAGAGACCAGAGAGAGACCAGAGAGAGAGACCAGAGAGAGAGACCAGAGAGAGAGACCAGAGAGAGACCAGAGAGAGAGACCAGAGAGAGAGACCAGAGAGAGAGACCAGAGAGAGAGACCAGAGAGAGACCAGAGAGAGACCAGAGAGAGAGACCAGAGAGAGACCAGAGAGAGACCAGAGAGAGACCAGAGAGAGAGACCAGAGAGAGACCAGAGAGAGAGACCAGAGAGAGACCAGAGAGAGACCAGAGAGAGAGACCAGAGAGAGACCAGAGAGAGACCAGAGAGAGACCAGAGAGAGAGACCAGAGAGAGACCAGAGAGAGACCAGAGAGAGACCAGAGAGAGACCAGAGAGAGACCAGAGAGAGACCAGAGAGAGACCAGAGAGAGACCAGAGAGAGACCAGAGAGAGACCAGAGAGAGAGACCAGAGAGAGACCAGAGAGAGAGACCAGAGAGAGACCAGAGAGAGAGACCAGAGAGAGACCAGAGAGAGAGACCAGAGAGAGAGACCAGAGAGAGACCAGAGAGAGAGACCAGAGAGAGACCAGAGAGAGACCAGAGAGAGAGACCAGAGAGAGACCAGAGAGAGAGACCAGAGAGAGACCAGAGAGAGAGACCAGAGAGAGAGACCAGAGAGAGAGACCAGAGAGAGAGACCAGAGAGAGACCAGAGAGAGACCAGAGAGAGACCAGAGAGAGAGACCAGAGAGAGACCAGAGAGAGAGACCAGAGAGAGACCAGAGAGAGACCAGAGAGAGACCAGAGAGAGACCAGAGAGAGAGACCAGAGAGAGAGACCAGAGAGAGAGACCAGAGAGAGACCAGAGAGAGACCAGAGAGAGAGACCAGAGAGAGAGACCAGAGAGAGAGACCAGAGAGAGAGACCAGAGAGAGACCAGAGAGAGACCAGAGAGAGACCAGAGAGAGAGACCAGAGAGAGACCAGAGAGAGAGACCAGAGAGAGACCAGAGAGAGAGACCAGAGAGAGACCAGAGAGAGAGACCAGAGAGAGACCAGAGAGAGACCAGAGAGAGAGACCAGAGAGAGACCAGAGAGAGACCAGAGAGAGACCAGAGAGAGACCAGAGAGAGAGACCAGAGAGAGAGACCAGAGAGAGACCAGAGAGAGACCAGAGAGAGACCAGAGAGAGAGACCAGAGAGAGACCAGAGAGAGACCAGAGAGAGACCAGAGAGAGAGACCAGAGAGAGAGACCAGAGAGAGACCAGAGAGAGACCAGAGAGAGAGACCAGAGAGAGACCAGAGAGAGACCAGAGAGAGACCAGAGAGAGAGACCAGAGAGAGACCAGAGAGAGAGACCAGAGAGAGAGACCAGAGAGAGACCAGAGAGAGACCAGAGAGAGACCAGAGAGAGACCAGAGAGAGACCAGAGAGAGAGACCAGAGAGAGACCAGAGAGAGAGACCAGAGAGAGACCAGAGAGAGACCAGAGAGAGAGACCAGAGAGAGACCAGAGAGAGAGACCAGAGAGAGAGACCAGAGAGAGACCAGAGAGAGACCAGAGAGAGACCAGAGAGAGACCAGAGAGAGAGACCAGAGAGAGACCAGAGAGAGAGACCAGAGAGAGAGACCAGAGAGAGACCAGAGAGAGAGACCAGAGAGAGACCAGAGAGAGAGACCAGAGAGAGACCAGAGAGAGACCAGAGAGAGACCAGAGAGAGACCAGAGAGAGAGACCAGAGAGAGACCAGAGAGAGACCAGAGAGAGAGACCAGAGAGAGACCAGAGAGAGAGACCAGAGAGAGACCAGAGAGAGACCAGAGAGAGACCAGAGAGAGAGACCAGAGAGAGACCAGAGAGAGAGACCAACCAGAGAGAGACCAGAGAGAGAGACCAGAGAGAGACCAGAGAGAGAGACCAGAGAGAGACCAGAGAGAGACCAGAGAGAGACCAGAGAGAGACCAGAGAGAGAGACCAGAGAGAGAGAGACCAGAGAGAGAGACCAGAGAGAGACCAGAGAGAGACCAGAGAGAGAGACCAGAGAGAGACCAGAGAGAGAGACCAGAGAGAGACCAGAGAGAGACCAGAGAGAGACCAGAGAGAGAGACCAGAGAGAGAGACCAGAGAGAGACCAGAGAGAGACCAGAGAGAGACCAGAGAGAGAGACCAGAGAGAGAGACCAGAGAGAGAGACCAGAGAGAGAGACCAGAGAGAGAGACCAGAGAGAGACCAGAGAGAGAGACCAGAGAGAGACCAGAGAGAGACCAGAGAGAGACCAGAGAGAGAGACCAGAGAGAGACCAGAGAGAGA